TAAGGTATATATGGAGAAAATCTAGGCTACTTTCAATAACTGTTCCTACTCTTCACTGCATAAAGCAATATAATATGCCATTTTCTGATAAAAGAATTCAATGTAGTTTGACGAAATTCTCTAGGTAGCAGTAGCAAATGATTTACCTCAACACCTTCCTATTGATCTGCCTATTCTATATGTACCTGAGCTCCAAAGGTAAGCATGACCACTGTACTACAAAGAAAATATGGTGGGCAACCAATGATCAATTTTACCAATGAGTCTAGGATTTCAATGTCTTTGAAACATTTTTTAACACTTGACTGCTTTCCAGATTTTAGATCAACACAAAATTTAAGTTTATTTGGGAAAATATAAGGAAACCAATATTTATCTTCAAATGGGAGGTAGCACAGAATACTGTAGTTACTTAGAGTGGAGTTTGATACTAGGTTCCAGGTTAACTATCTTTTCTATATTTCAGTTCATGAGTTGATAATTATTAGGCCTACCTTATGATGCTGTTGAGAGCATCAGTAGTTAAATAAGTCATGACTATAAAATCCTGCATGGAGTGGCAAGGAAGTCAAAATCAGTAGAACTAATGTTTTACTGCAGAGTAGATATTCTGTGAAGGTTAATCCCCTTCTGTTCTTGATTTGCAATTCAAAGGTAGAAACATATTCCAAACAATATATAGGAAATAATGATGCATTACAGCATATAACTATACCAAAACTGAATTAGAATGACATTTAACTTTTCTTTCCTTATGGCTACACACACATTTTACAGCTTACATTGGTCATTAAAGTCCACATATATTAAAATTGCAGTTGAAATTTAAGATGGTATATATAATTGTTTTTATATTAAATATTTGTTAAACTGGGTTGTATCAACTTGATTGGTTTGGGAGCTATGAAAGTGTTTGATAGAACACAGTTCTGGGTGTGTCACATGGGTCCCATGTGGTGCCGGGTACTGTACTGTCCCTTTTTTCTCTGGCACTGCTTCCTCATTTTGCTGCTTGGCAACATGAACTAAGCAGGTTTGCTCTGCCATGTGCTTCCATCATGATATCCCTGCCTCAGAGTCTTCCAACAATGTACTGAATCTCCTGAAACTAAATTAAACCCTTCATCCTGTAAGCTATAGGCGTCAAGTATTTTGTCCCAGCAAATGGAAAGGTAATACAGAAAGTTGGTACCAGAATGGTGTCATTGCTATGACTGTATCTGTCCATGTGGTTTAAAAGCCTTTAAAACTACTGTGCAGGAAGAGTTTGAGGAGGTTTGCATATGTAGGCCTCAGAATGCAGGAAGCATTCTGAATGGGCGATTCTGGTCAGAACTCAGAAAAACAGAATGCTGGTAAGACTGTGGAAAAACACATTAAAACACAGTAAAAGTCTGGACCAAGAGGTTTCATTTGTAAACAAAGACTCTATTGGCATTTAGTTGAGAGGCCATGTGTGTGTTACACACTGGCAGAAAATTTTATGACCTGAGACTGCAGAAGATGGATTAATTAGCAGTGGACTAATTAATCTTATGGAGGACATTTCAAGAGTGCCCAACATTCAGGCTGTGGCACTGGTTTTATTGGCTAACTTTAGCCACATTTATAATGAGAGTCAGGGGAAACTTTGAAAAGCTTAAATTTTGGACCCACATATAAAGTTGGGTCCAAAGGTAATGTGGCTGCTACACAGATCAGCATGATTAGAAAGAGACCAAGTACTTTGTACAGGGACAAGAAGAAAACATGCCCTGAGGGCATCTCATGAATCAGCAAGACTCCACCCACCATAGTCTCAAAACTGCAAAAATTTAAACTTTTCATTGATGATGAATCCCTTCAATGCCTGTTCAAGAAGGGCCTCATAGGGAATTGGTTCCCTAGGATACATTTCATTCTCACTCAGCCATCCAGGGACTCTGAGGCTGCTATAGCTGTGTACAAGGGGAACTGGAAGCTGTTTTTACTCATAGCGGCCTTCAAAATTTTCTGTGTTGCTGTTTGTTCAGGAATGCAGAACAGAACAGTTGAGGGTTCAAGGAGGCTTCCACCTAGATTTCCAAAAAAAACCTGGAAAGCCAGGCAAGAAGTCCCTGAAAAGGCAATGTGTAAAGCTGTGAGAATAAAGTCAAAGGTGAAATGGACACCCAAGGAAATAAAAGGTGCCAGTAATCTGAAACTTCTGCCAAGTAAAGCTGAAGGCTGAAGATACAGCCAGCATAAGACAGGTCAAGTGGGCTGCAACTGATGAAACCATAGTGATAAGGCTGTCCACACCCTCTGGAAGTCACATTTTAACTCTTTGTGCCCTACATGCCAGATATGGAGCTACAGAACTTAATGTTCCTTCTGGGTTTTGCTCTTGCTTTGGCCCATTTCTTGTCTACCCTGCTATTCCTCTCCTCTGGAATAAGAATCTTTACTTTATAGAATTGTACACGGGTATTATGTAACTTGTTTTTCATTTTTACAGAGGTCTGAGCTAAGCATTTTCCTTGAGTCTCTGAAGAGACTTGGTCTTGGACTTTTGAAAGATGCTGGAGCTGTCAACATTTTGAGGAAAGGATATTCCACTTTCAGTTGCATGTAAGATAGTTGCATCATGTTAGGTGGAAATATGATCTTGTTTATTGAGAAGTAAGTACGGTTAAAGGATATTTGTTTAGATATCAAGTTGCCAAGCTGGGATATGGTATCTAAGCTTGATTGTGTCAGCTTGACTGGCTTGGTGCTGCCCAGGGGATTGGTGTAGCATATTTCTTTGTGCGTCAGTATTGGTTGTGCAGGTATGACTTTGAGTACTATATCTAGTCCCTCATCACTGTGTTGCTTCCAAGCTGTCATGAGCTAAGCAGCTTTGCTCTGCTGTGCCCTTTCACCTTGATGTCCCTACTTTGGAGTGTACCAGCGATGTACTGAATCTCCCAAAACCATGAGCTAAATTAAACCTTTCCTCATTTAAGCTGTGGGTTTTGAGTATTGTGTCCCACTGACTGGAAATCTGATTAATACCATATTTAATGCAGTTTTAAAAACTATTTTTCTGATATTAGAAATACATAGTGTCTCTATAATGATACCTTCTCAATGTCTATACTAATAACCACTAAGACTGTAATAGATTGAATATTTTTGTCTCTCAAAAATCAGATGCTGAAGCTGTAATTCCATATCCAGCCCCCATCACAGGACATGGGCAGAAGTTAGAAGGTGACAATATGCAAACCCAGAAGAAGGCCTTCACCTTGACCATGCCAATGGTCTCAGACTTGCAAAGCACACAGACTATGTTGAGTTTTTTTTAATGGAATCCCAAATTGACCAAACAGGGAAAAACTCACTCTACAAATGTTATAGAAAATTGCTCATATTCCCAGATATAAGCATGCAAAGTTGGTCAAAATATAAAAAATAACTTTTAATCATTAACTGTTGCCCTCAACAAACCATCAGATACCAGCAGTACAGTTATGCCACCATATTCATGCATAAAAATTTGCCCTAAAAACCATAATGGGCTACCATTGCTATCACCACAAAACAGAGAAAACAAAGTTTCTCCCTTGTGCACAATATTTTCAGATTAGAAAATATACAGCCCTAATAATAGAAAACACACACATATGACAGGCACATGTACATTTAAATAATAATAACTACATGTTTTCACAAAATATGTCTGTATTTATGATTAATAATAAATATGGGGCCAGGAATATAGCTCAGTGGTACAGTGCCTGCTTGCAAGTACAGGGTCCTGAGTTAGATTCCAGATACAAAATAATTACAATAATAATAAATATGTAGGTGGGAAGCAGTGAAAATATCTGAACAATTTTGCCTCATGTTTTAAAAGTTCTACACAAAATTCCTTTTTTATTTTAAAGAGAATAATAATAAAAAGAACAATAGCAAAATACCAACAGCATAGACAAAAACAAAACAAAGCAAAAACAATAAAAATGATACAGGGTTTCAGAACAAAATGATAAGAAGTAACAGTGGTTGTTATATTACATATTGTTATCTTCAATGAAGTTGCTCAAATTACCACATGTAAAAATGCAAGATTGATCAAATCATTAAAGAGAATAATAGAAACAAAAAAACCCCATTAGAAATGGGGGGCTGGGGATTTAGCTCAGCGGCAAAGCGCCTGCCTGGCAAGCGCAAGGTCGTGAGTTCGGTTCCCGGTACCGGAGAAAAACCAAAACCAAAAAAAAAAAAAAAAACAAAACAAAAGAAATGATACAGAGTTTCACTAGGCAAGATGGTAGGAATTCACCAATGGTTGTTATGTTGCATGTTGCTGTCTTCAAAGTAGTTTTTCGGATTATCAGATATAAGTATGCAAAATAGGTCAAAGTTACTACACAAAATTCTTACAAATAAACATGTTTCATAAATAAAAATCACAACACATCTCTTGTGTTCTATTATAAAAATATTTATAAAAATACATATTCAGGTAGTGCTGGAATGTGCACAGTGCAAATGTCCAGTAGTCAAGGGCCAGATGTACTCATTAAACTTGAAAGACCAAGCAACTAATGCAATAGGACTTCAACAAAGCTTTGCTGTTAAGGGAAAGATTTCTATATAAGATCCATTTGAAAATCCATTTCACACTTCTAATTTAAAGCCAATTCAAATGTAATTTACTTTATCAGGGCTATTCATTTAGTGAGGGTCAGAAGTACAATCAACAGAGATGACAATTACTTACGCTTATCAAAAGATAACCTGCTACCAATAGCGCTGAGCAAGAGAAAAAGATGGAACTAGGACTTAAACTGGAAACAACGGTTATTACCATACAAGCGGATCTTCCTTCAGACCAGCATATCCTGCAACAAAGCTCTTACTTCGTGACATCTCTGCAGGCAAGGCAAGCGCATTTGTCACTGTATTTGAGTGCCCCATACGCCTTTACTTTGCCAAAGTTGATGATTTGAGAGAGGTGCAACAATCATGATGGCACAAAACATTAAACTTACCACTCTCGTCATCTATATTGAACCTTCCCAGTCCGCTGCCGTCCCTGATGGAGTACTGGATCTCTCCGTCCCTGCCGGAGTCCTCATCTCGGGCGGTCACCTGGAGTACACTTGTTCCAATACGTGAGTTTTCTTTCACAGATCCAACAACAGCAAAGTCTGGAAAGTAGGGGGTATGAAGGTTTTCATTGACATCCACAACTTCCACCTCAACAAAGGAAACAGATGACAAAGAAACAGGCCGTCCTTTGTCTTTAGCCCGAACTGTGAGATTATAAAACTGTTGCTTTTCGTAGTCAAGCTCTTTGCTCAAGCGGATGGCGCCACTTGCTTTATCTATTTCAAATCTCCCATTATAGTCATTGACCAAAGAATAACGCACTTGACCTCCCAATCCGAGGTCTGGATCATGAGTTTCCAACCAAGCAATGACGGTGCCAACAGGGAGGTCTTCAAGAACCTTCACACTATAGCTGCTGGGGATGAAGGCTGGGGAGCAGTCATTCACATCATCCAGAAAAACCTTAAGCGTGACCACTGCAAATAGCTGCTGACCATTTTCTGCCTTGTCTCTGGCTTCTATTTTCAAGGAATAGTTTGCTTTGGATTCTCGGTCCAACTGGTCTGCTACATAAATGACTCCAGTTGAGCTGTTGATGGCGAACTGTTGTGTATCTGTCAAGACTGAGTAAGTCACTTCTCCATTAGAACCCAGGTCTTTGTCTCTGGCTTCCACTTGAATAATCTCAGTACCAATGCTTGAACTTTCAAGAATGTTAACAGAGTAACTATCTTGAAGAAAAATGGGGCTGTTATCATTTGCATCCTCTACATTGATGGTCAGCAGTCTCCACGAAGATTTCTGGGGATTACCTAAGTCATAGATGGTAATATTAAGGAGATAGAGGTCTGTGTGCTCTCGATCCATGGGCATAAGGACTTTAAGCTGCCCAGTCTCCATATCAATATTAAAGCAACTGTCAGTATTTCCATCGGATATTGTAAATAGCACCTTCCCATTAAAGCCAGAGTCAGCATCATAGGCTTTAATCTTCAGGATGTTAGCACCAACTGGTAGATTCTCCTTCACAGCCATATCGGAAGGAAAAGACTTGTCAAAATGCGGTCCTTGCCTATTAACTGAGTAAAAGTCAAGAAATCCATCTTCCAAATTCAGCTTCCCATTTGCTTTTGCCTTAATGAGTAGCTTTTCTGCCAGTTTCTGAGCCACACGAGTTTCTCTGCAGCTGAAGCTCTTTGAAGACACTTTCCCATGCAGGACTGAAATGTTAATGGCCATGGGGTCTGCAAAATTCTCTCCATCAGTTGCTGTAATTCTCAGGGCAAAATTACCATTTTTTATGCCGGGACTCATCAGTGACTTTTTAAGTTGTAAAACACCAGAGTCTGGGTTTAAATAAAAGAAACCAAGTTCATTTCCAGAAATGATCTTGTACTTCACAAGTTCAAGTTCATCAATATCGATCGCGGACACAGCTGTGATGTGACCACCGACTGGGAAGTCATAGGAAATAACTCCCTGGCAAGCTACTTTTTCAAAGAGAGGGCTGTTGTCATTGACATTTCCTATTCGGATGGTCACGTTTACCTCACTTTCGTGGCGGTATGGTGAACCCCAGTCAGAGGCTCTGACGATGAACCTGTAAACTTCTGGAGAAGATTCAAAATCTAATTCTTCAGTTGTGCTAATTACACCCGTAAACTGGTTAATGGCAAATGGTAACAAATTCAGGCTGGCAATACTATAAGTGATGTACCCATTTTCTCCTTTGTCCTTATCAGAAGCGGACACTGACAGAATGCTTGTTCCTACTGGAACACTTTCATTCACAAAAATATCATATAGGCCCTGTTGGAATTCTGGGGTGTTGTCATTTGCATCTTCTATGCCAATGGTAACTTGTGCTTTTATATCTCCTTCTTTGTTTGTCACCTCCAGCTTATAAAGCTCCTTCTTAATGGTATTCAGGGGCTGTGCTGTGACAATCAGACCTGTCCGTGGATTGATTTTGAAGTAGTCTGCATCTTCACCAGGAGATAATTTGTATTCCACATCCAGAGGTTCAGGACTTAATTTTACTATAGCAACCATAACACCAGGAGGGGAAAACTCACTTATGTTGACCTCATACACTTCTTTTTCAAATTGAACCGGGACACTGTCTCTTTTAGGGTTGGCAATGTGGACTATCGTCAGTGCTGAAAACTTTTGAGGTGACCCTTTGTCCTTTGCTTGAAGAGTGAGGTTGTAACCATAGGAAAAGCTTGCCCAGTCAACTTGTTTCCTCTCCTGGATCTTGTACTCATTCATCCACTTTCCTTCCTTAGCCAGGAAGAACTGATCTAAAGGATCTCCAGCCACGATGGAAACAGATTCGATCTCTCCATTGGCCCCCTCGTCCAGGTCATCAACTGTCACTACTGCATACGTCGGCTCTTTATCCAACAAGAAAGGAACATGCGTGACTACCTGGATCGTCGGAGCATGTTCATTTACACGTTCAATGTGAACATAAAGCTTTGCAGTACTGCTCACTCCATTGTTCCCATAGAGTTTCATTCCTCGATCCACAGCTAAAATTTCCAGATCATACCTGTTCTTTTCATCATAATTTAATCGTCCACTTAAGGAGATGACACCACTTGTGGGGTGAACCGAAAAGAGATCAACTTTGTTTTTAAAGTAGTAGTAGAACTCTCCGTTAGAACCAATGTCAGCGTCAGTGGCTGTCACCTGAGCAACACTCGTCCTTAGCGGTGTGCTTTCCGCTATTGTAACAGAATACGTCGTGGGTGAAAACAGAGGCCTCAGGTCGTTCATATCTAAAACCTGGATGTTCACTTTGGTCCATGCTTCCAAATCTTCTCCTCTGACAGAACCCTTGATTATCAATAAATAATTGTCCTGAATTTCCCTATTCAAAATGGCAGAATTCCCACCCTTGGTTCTTATTCTGAGAAAACAGAAATCTGCAATGATGACTTCTTCTGCTTTGAAAAAGCCTTCCTCATCTCCGGACACTATTCTGTATTTGATATCCCAGGACAGGTCTATCAAGGTGATGCCCATTCTACTCTGGCTATTGACGTAGGTCCTTGCTGCAGAATTCTCATAGACTGAAGCATTGTAAGTGGAATGTGTGAAGTGAAAGCCCAGGGGCCCTGTCCCTGGCAGCCCCTGGGACACAGTGGCCAAGAGCTTGAGAAGCAGGAGGATGAGGCAAGAAGAAGGAGGTCGTGTCCCCACACAGTGTCCCATAATTATATCCATCACATCATACTTCTGTCCTGGAGGGAAAGAGACAAAGAGAGAGGAAAAGGATAAATTAAACTGGAAGAGAGTGTAAAAAGGAATAGAAAATTACTGCTATGAAACAGTGCTTCTTAAGAATTTGATTTAAAAAATCTTTTTATTAAAACATGAACACAAGAAAAAATGAAAACCTCACCACTACTAGATTATAAGGAATTCAAAAAAACTAGAATTTAACCTTATCATGTTTGAATTTTTTTTAAGTGACACTTTTACACTGCTGATGAGATTGTTCATTGGTACAACATATTTTTATATTCTGCAGGTCAATTTAGACATACAGAGTAGAGGATTTAGGTGCATTTTATATCTTTGACTTATAATTATCCTATGAAAATAGACATGTGTTCATTATAACACAGTTAAAATGTAAACCCGAGAAGGTGTGAAAGAACTATCAACAAAGGATAAAATAATTCATGGTACATTCCTAAAAAATACTATGTAACCATTTAAGAAAATGATAAAAATGTATATTTTCAGATGGATGAAAGTGTAATGCTAAGTGAAGGAAAGCTCATCAAGAAGTACAGATGGGGGCTGGGGATTAAGCTCAGCGGCACAGCGCCTGCCTGGCAAGTTCGATTCCTGGTACCGGAAAAAAAAAAACCAAAAAAAAAAAAAAAAAAAGTACAGATGGATGGTGCGATCCTATTACTCCTTAAATATGTGCACAACTGCATGTTTACATTTTGAAAAGATTAACTTTTGCAAGATTTGGAGGCATATTTGCATTTTTTTTTGAGACAGGGCCTCACTGTGTAATTCACAGCTTTGAACTCACTATGGAGCCCAGACTGGCCTTGAACTTGCCATGATCTTTCTGCCTCAGCCTTCAGAGTGCTGGGATTACAAGTATGTGCTACTATGCCTGGATCTCATATTTGCATTTTGAAGTTTTACTTCCATGAATATTGTTTGACAATGCTTATACTTTATATAAAACAATTACTTTTATATAATTATAATTTGTTATAAAAATGCTTCAAGGTATTATCATTTATTTTGTTTACTCTCAAACTGTTCAAAATTTATGTATAATTCAATGCTATGAGAACAAATGAGGCACCAGGTAACATAGTGGAGAAGACAATCCCTAAGGAACTGCATGACCTAAACTGTACCTCTCAGGTGCCTGTGCTGCTCGTGCTCATAAGAAGGGAGGCAACTGATTCCTTACAGGAAATACTTAAGGAACTGCAAGAAGTAGTTCTAATTATTTTCATCAGTGACTATTACATTTTAAATTTTAGGACCATGCAGATTATAAGACAAAAACTTCTTCCTGTTTTAAGCGGTAAAATCGTTCATATCTTTAAAACAGCAGGGAGGAGTTGGGAGGGAATGTTTAACAAGAAATAAGTGAGTGTATACTCTGACAGCTCATATTTTTAGAACCTCCAAATTTGAGTTCCAATGTGAAGCCATACCCTGGAGGCCCCTGGCCTTCCTCTCTTCCTTTGCTGCAGGGCATGTAAAGATGGAGAGGGTGTGAAATGAATTCTTCTGAAGATACATAATGACTTGCACAGGACGCCAGTTTTCCTATGCTGATATATTTAACTTCCATGACAATACGGAGCAATGGGGTACTATTTTACCTAACTATATATTACAAAAAGTAATGGTCAGAGTATTTAAACTACTTGACTGGGACACTGCCCAAGTAACATACCCCAGGAAGTAAGTGGTAAAACACAATCTTAGACTCTGAGTTTTCTTCCTCCAAAATCAATGCTTTTCGTCACTGTATCATCAGTCTCTCTAAATTGTCTGTAATTAAGAATGCAAATTGAGGCTCCTAGAAGCACATCTGATATTATTTAATTCCATGGAATTACTCAACAAGTACCATTGATGGGAAAGCATAAAACCTATCCATCTTCTACATCTGGTTATCTTCTTTCTGGTTTTAAATTAGTTCCAAGATGCATCCCCTCCAGAAATTAACATGTTAGAACATTGCAAATTATTTTTGTAATTCATAAATAGTTTTAAATCCACCATTGGGAAAACACATATTATTACAACCTTTCAGTAGATAAGAACAAATTTCCTTTTACTAGTAGTAGAGTCTGGCTTAGAATTCAGGTTCCTTCATGAGCCCACAAGGTTTGCCCATTGTTTTTCAACTTGGCCTTCAAGATGCTCTCACCACTGGATGCTCTCATAGCTGGGCGTACATGTGCTGGGTTACCCCTGGGGATGGAATTGCCTGCTGATATCATCTGTTGAAGTATCTAGCCTATGATGAATTGCAAGTAGAAAAAGCCAACTTTAACATGAGGATTTCACAGGCAGAACAGAAAGCAATAGTGAAAAGTTAAACAAAAGGAGATAACTTTCCACAAAAGAAATTATTTTCATATGCAGCTCTTCTGCCTGTCCTTGGTAAATGCCTCCGATGCTAAGTGTGTGGAGCAGAAAGTCCGGCCCTGGCTCAGGGGACGGGGGCAAAGGCCAAGGCAGATGGCAGCTGGCAACGCGCTCAGTGGCTTCCCAGAAAGATGTGGTTGGGCCCCTCGTCCTTTCAGAGGAAACTGGTGAGGGAGATGGTATAAAGGTGGAGTTTTTTTTAATGTGGTAAGTTTGAATGCCTACCTAGGAGAACAGAGAACCCCATGAAGCCAGTGCAAAGGAAGGTGCCCATTTTGTGGAGAACACTCAACTGAAATATAAGAGTAATCGACCTCTCTTCAGCGATCCCAGATGTAAACTGGCAGAGGGTTTAATCATATGCCTCTCTTTTTTTCCTTCATCTGAAAATGTTCCAAAGCAGTGGAGGAACATTTAGTTTTAAGTTGGCTGTAACCATGGTAGAGGGAGGTAGGCTCTTAAAAAGGAATGTAAAGGCCAAATTACATCCTTTTAAAGTAAAACACTGGGAAGACCCACAGTGCTTCAGAGAAATACAAATTCAATTTCTGCCTCATTTCCTATTCATCGTTTTCAGCTTCAAATACTGCCTGTGAGAACAATCCAGACCTCACAGCCATCGGGGAGGAAAATCTCCTCAATGGTCAATACAGTTGAGTGAACTTTCCCGAACCTATTACCGATCCACACCCTGAGCCCCACTGAAGGAAACCCAATAGGAGGACCCACATTTGTGCATCGTTCTATTCCTGGACTCCAGGAGTAAAGCACTTACCACGCAGGACACAAATAATACTGATTTGCTGAACAGAACCAGACACTAGAAACCTTTAATAGGCCTCGTACCTAAATCTCTCAAAATAAGCTCATCTTATATAGGATACAAATCCAGAAGTTATTCAGGTTAAAAGGTGCATTAAAAGTCATGTGGTCTGATCTCCTTGGTTTATAAATGAAGGAACTGAGGTTTATACAATGAAAAGATTTCTTTACTACTTAGTCTCAGGTCTCCCAAAGTTCAGAACTAATATAAACTGTGAGTCAAATGAGTTAGTGGCCAGTGAGTTAGTGTCACAATTTTAGAATGGTAGTTCGTCATTTTGGAGTAATCTTCATGTTTAGGTACTTTATTACCCTCCTGGGGCAATTCCCTCACTCCCTTCAAACCAAAGAATGCTGTTACAGTATGAAGAAAATCATTCAATTTAATTATTCAAAAACTGATACTTTTACATACTGATTTTTATTTCAGCAAGATGAATGGCTGGAATTTTATTTCTTATAATCCAGAATAAATTGTCTTAAAAACAAACTGAATATATTTCAAAACAAGTTTAATGAATACTCATGGATGAAAATTTAAATTTAACTCAAGAAAAGATAAAAAAAGATCAGGAACAAATGTGTTAGCTTCACTTGTTAAAACCCAAGATGTCTCATGTTTCTTTTATACCATTATTGTTACAGAAGAAAAAGCTCCTATCTGGCACAAACTGTACCTTGCATCATTTCTATTGCTTTGGGAAATCTATGAGCACTAAAAGTTAGGAATTTGGTATGATTTTTCAAAGTACACACTAGAATAAAGCTTTAGGTTTCTTTTTTTAGCATTCCAAAATAACTTCAGATTAAAGAAACGCAATAGTACTTTTTCCTCATTGAAGTTAAGTTGTTGGGGAAGCCAGTGTGAGTTAATGGTGTTTTACATGCTCTAAACATTGATTTATTCTACTGCTTCTGGATTATTTTAAAGAAAGCACTTACTTCCCAACCTCAGAGCCGGTTTTCTACAATATAATAACATGATCAATAGTTTTTACACAATCACCAAAGAGATCATTAAGCCATCAACCTTTGAGACGTTTATTTTTCAGAGGCGGTCCTCATGTACCTCCTCACCCTGCCCTTCTTGCTCTGTTGTGGTGGATCTTGGAATAGGACTCAGAAAGGCATGCAGAGATTTCTTTCCAGCAGATGAATAAACATCAGAGACCTCAGGGGCAAGGGACAGCAGTCAGTGAGGTCAGGGGTCAGGGGTAGCCTTGACTGCAGCTGCCCATGCTGTTGTGGTTGTAACCTCATGACACTGTTTTCTGCCACCATAAAATGGGTTAAAGAGTTGAGACTTTTGAAGAGGCAAATAAATCTTCTGAGAATATTCTATTTTCACGCCTTCTCTTCCTATGTTATATATGTTGAATGGGTTTGTTAGCCAGAGAGAAGAGATAAGCAGGAAATACAGTATGATAGGCCGAAAACAAAGAGCAAAGTGAGCATGGGAAGAGTTTCCCCTTACAAGCACCCTGGGTACAGATGACTTGTGCCCATGATGCAGGTGGAAGGTCTGTTGCTGTGGGTGTGGGCCATGACCTGGCACGTGTACAAAGGCAGGACATGGCTAAAGAGCACACACTTTGGCGTCCTACTTCCTGGTACAGATGCCGACTCTGTCACCCACAAGCCATACAACCTTGGACAACTTATTTAATCTCCCAGTGCCCTGGTTTGTACCTCTACAAAAGGGAAAACATCAGTACCTACAAAATGGGATTTGAGTTACTAAATCCAAAGTACAAAAAAACCAGTTTCTGGCACATTG